TCCATAATGATATCAATTCATCAATAGTTACGCTTTGGGTCTGTCCATATTTCTCCATCTATCTGTCATATGGATCTGTCTGTCATATTTCTCTATCTTTTCCACACACAAAAACTCTAGAATCTGTCATATATTTTGTTCAAATATAGGCAAACTAGCTATGTCATTCTCCTGCACTCCCAGGTGAAAAGCTTGGACTATCTGTCTCACAATAGAAATAGGAATCGACAAAAAAAAGGTCGCACCTCTGCTCTTCCCTCTTTGCTCCCTTCTCAGGTCTCCCCTTCCATTTTCCCTTTGTCCTTTGGGGTCTCTTTAATAGTCACATGGCATAATGGATAGAGAACTGCCTCTATCCAAAGAGATAAAGGCAAGTTGACAATCATTTATTAAGCACTTATTGTTATGGTTTTCATATGGTTTTTTTCCCCCAAGAAGAATGAGAAACCAAAGAGACCAGAGGTCTCCTTCTCATTCTTCTTGGGGAATCCAGAGACAGCTTCCAGTTTCTCTACCTGTAAAAGGAGAATAATAATGTAGCCCTAAGCCCTGTGAGACCCTAGGTAAGTCACTTAACCAGCAGGTTCAGTTTCCCATCTGAAAAATACAAATAACTCTTACTTCACAGAGCGATAGTGAGAATTCAAGGAGAGAGTTAGGCTAAATGTGTTGGCTGTCATTACTTTTTCACCATGTTCTCTCTCTGGACGTACTTTTCTGTCTGTCTCTTCTTTCCCTCAATGGGACCTTATCCCAGACTTGCTCCTCTCTCTCTTCCCCAGCCTCTCCTCTCTCCTTTTCTCACCATGCCCCCTTGGCTCTTCTTTTCTTTCTCTGCCTTATTCTCTTCTCCTTTTCTTTTCCCTCAGCCCCGTTCTACAGTCTCTCTTTTTCCCCATCTCCTCTCTCCTTCCTTCCCCTTCCCTCAGAGTTGGGCATAGCCCAAGGCTTTTGTGTCTCCAACCTAAGTCTCAGTCTGTTCACTCAGTGTAACGGGGCAGCAAAACTAACCTATTCGGAAGGCAGAGGGGGCCTGTGAAAGCCCACTTCCCATTCACAGTTTGGAAGGACTATAATTTAACCCATCTGTTACCAATTTCCTTTCCTTCCAGGGTATACCTGAGGCAGACACTCACCTGAGTAGCCAGCTGAGGTGGTTCCATGTAGAATCTCCAAGGCAGGTGCCGCCAAGGCCAGAGCATTGACCGAGTAATGGGGTGGGGGTGACTTGAGGTAAGAAGACATCATGCTCCCAGGACCAGGGACCCAGGGGTCCAGGCTGAAGGGATGGGAGTGGCCAGTCAGGGCTGCTGTAAATCGTTCACTTCCAAGCAATCAGGAAGGAGAAGAAAGCAGAAGAGGAGGGGGAAGACAGTAGAGCCCCCCTCCCTCAGGAGAAAGGTCTGGGGGTGGGAAGGCACCTAGCACTCACAAAGACCCAGAGACCCAGGGAGGAAGAGGAGGGAGAGGGGTCTAGGAAGCTACATACAAAGGAAGAGACATTCAGAGGCCGAGGGTGAGTCAGAGACATGAGTAGGAATTAGGATGGGATGAGCCAGAATAGGAGCAAGAAACCCTCTGGAAGAGATAAGACACAAGGAGAGAAATTCAGAGATATGGAGGGAGAGTCAGACTCCCACAAAGAAAATAGGAGCTCTCCAGGCTAGGGGTAGAGTACTTGTTTGCAGAGTGATGGAAGATTTAAATACAATCACTGAGGGCTGGGGCAGAACCAAGGACCCCAGGGGCCCCACCCAGGTGTGGCCCGAGGGCAAGGAGGGAAACGAAAACTCTATCTTCCCCGGTCTTTCTCTTATCTCTCAGTCAGTCTCTCTTGTCTCTGTCCAGTCTCCATTCAAACCTATCTAGCAGACGTATAACCCTAACTACTTCACTGGTGGCAAGGATGGAAGGACAGAATTCAACACTGTCTGCCCTCAAGAAGCTTATATTCTACTGACTTTAAATTCTCCCTCTTTGTTTCTCCATCTTCTTCTGTCTTGCCTACTACTGTTTATATATGTCCACGTGCCTCTCCTTTCCATGGGATTATTTCTCTACCTCTCGGTCTTGCCCACAATCTAGCTGTCAGCTCATCTGTGACACTTTCTGACTCCCCATTTCTGTCCTGTCTCTCTATTATCTTCCTTTGCCTCGGCGGATCTCTGAAGATCCATTCACCCACTCCTCACTCCCTTTTTAACATATTGGTGACCCTTTTATCTCTAACTCCGCTGTCTCACAGTCTATGTGTCTCTGCTTTTTTTTCTGTCTCTGTGACTCTTCTGACTACCCATCTCTGCTTTGTCTCTCGCTATATTTCTGCTCTCCCTTTCAGTCTGTCTACCCTCCTCCATGCCTCCCTTCCCCATCCTCTCCCTGGATCTAGCTCTTAAGTCTCTGTTTCTCTACCATTGTCTCCCCCATCCCCAGCCCACTGTGTTGGTCTTTCTCTCTCCTTCTGTTTAACCTCTCCAGGGTCTCCCTGCCTCAGTCTCTACCCTCACCCATCAGCTGGTTGCTTACCTGTTCACTGGCCAGACTAGGTTCAAGGGCTCCTAAGGCAGGGGCAAGGGACCAGCTCCGACAGTCGGTTGAACTGCTGAAAGCTATGGCCACCCAGGCCCTGGGGATTTTAAGCCTGGTCTCTGAGTGATGTCACCCCAGCCTGGCCTGGATCCTAGGCCCTAATCCTGGGGAAGGCTGCCTCTCCCTCTCCCTGGCACCAGGAGGTGACATTGGGAAGGGGGGAGGGGGTGGAGAAACCAGCCGGTCCCTAATCCTTTCCCTTCCCCCCACATTGACCTGGCAATCAGGGCCGATGGGGGGAAGGGAGGACTAGGGGATAGGGCCATTGTATCCAGCCCCCAGTCTCCACCAGGAAGGGCAGCCTAGGTTCAGACAGAAGCCCCCTTGTCTCAAGCCAGCTTTCTCTGCTGGGTCTTCCACTCCTTCCCCTTCCGCCCCCAACCCCAACCAGCCCACTTGTCTGCCATACCTCTGGTCTCCTTGGTTTCTCATTCTTCTTGGGGAAAAAAGCCTGTATGAAACCCGTAACAGTAAGTGCTTAATAAATGCTTGTCAACTTGCCTTTCTCTCTTTGCCATTGTACATCTCTTTCTGTATTTATCTCTATATTCTTAAGTATCAGGCTCTCAGTGCTAGAGGTTCTAGAGACTTGATCTAGGTCTCTGGGCTTCTCTGCATCCAGACTCTAGTTCAGACTCAATGCAGCTGTCAAATTGATATCCTGAAATCGGAGGTCTGACCTCCCCTTCCCTAGACGCTCCAGGCTAAAATACAAACTCAGTCTTTGCAGGCTGAATAATAACTAGCAATTCTAGAGCCCTTTTAATATTTGCAAAGCGCTTCACATAATCTCATTTGATCCTCCATACAACTTGGAGAGATAGGCGCTATGATTGTCTGCATTTTACAGGTGAGGAAATGAAGGCTGAGAAAGATTAAGTTACTTGGCCAGGATCACACAGCCACCAAGTCTGTGGCTGAGGCAGGATTGGATCAAATAATCCAGACTTTTGGTGCAGCACTCCATACACCATGCCACCTCGTTGCCCAAATGGCGCAATAATTCACCCTCTCTATTACTTGTGATGTAATGACTGCTCATTACTCCACATTTTTTGGCCTATTTTTAAGTTACCATCTCTCTCTCTTTCCTTCTCCCAAGCTCCTTCCCAGCTGGCTATTCCTTTGTGCCTATAAAGTACCCAATCCTTACCTACACCTCTTGCAATTCTTTTCTAGCTTCAGCTGGCCCACCCCCTTTTTTAAGAGGTCCTTCACGTCCCCGCCTCCTTTTTAGTGACTCCTCCTCGTTCCTTGGTCTTTATTTTGTGTATGTCCCATATTTATGCCTCTCAGTCCCTACTACGTAAGCTCCTTGGGAACAGGGATTGTCATTTCTGTATGTCTCCAGCACCTGGTACATCCATATCAGAAACTTAATTGATTTATCTTTAAAGATCCTATCTAACTCAGTCCATGGATTGGACAGAAGTAAATACTTAGAGCAGTCACTTGTCCAAAGTCCCACTGGGCATTGGTAAGTAACAGAGCTGAGGTTTGAGACAGGTCCTCTAAACACAAATCACTATCAGTGCCTTTTCTAAAACACCAGCCAAGACTTCGGGAGCTCTCCAGCCTCCCTCCCGCTTCACCAGCCTCGCCTAGACATAGGCTGTGCATCTGGGGATTAGGGCAGGCTGCACAAGCCCTGGAGGAACTGGACCTCATTAGCTGAAGATTGGGGGTGGGGGGGGGGGGGGGAATAGGCTACGACAGAGCATGCCTGGCTGAAGAGGGAAGGGTTGCTTCTTAATTGGAAAATCCTTTCTTGGAATAGAAGGGAGATTAGGGCCTGGGATAGAAATAGGAGGTAGGAAGAAGTAGGGAACCCCCCCCCATTATCATCCTGAGGCCCTTTGAGGGTGTTCAGGGTGATGGTGTAGTTTGGAACACCCCCCCACCAGTGCTTTGAGATCACCTGGGTAGCTACCTGAGGAGGGGGACTGTTTTTTTGCACTTTTTTTCTTTTTTTTTTTTGGTATCTCTAGCACTCAGTCCAGTGTCTCGCACATAGTAGGTACTTAATAAATGTTTGTTGAATGACTGGTACAGGAGACTGGATGGTGCAGTGAGGGTGTCGAAGGTGTGGGGAAGAACATAAAATAATTTATCTAGAATTGGGAAAGACCTTAGAGCCCTTCACAGTCTGGTTCCAGTTTCTGTTTCCAGGCTAATTTTGTGTTCCTTACTGTCCTCCATGCACTAGCTTATGTGCTGTTCCCCGAAGAGGAAACTCCAACTCCAGGCTTTGCAAAAGCTGCCACCCATACTCAGTGACCTTTAATAACCTCAATTCAATTCAGTAAAAGCTGGGTATAAAAGAAGAGGCAAAAATCAGCCCCAGCCCTCTAGGAGATTACCATCTAATGGAAACAATATGCGAACAAATATATACAAACAAGCTATATACAGGAAAAATAGGAAATGATTGACAGAGTGAAGGCATGGCAATGAAGAGAGGTTGGGGAAGACTTCCTGTAGAAGGTAGGATTTCAGTTGGAACTTAAAGGAAGCCAGGGAGGTGGGTAGTTGGAGTGGAGGAAGGTGAGCATTCCAGGCTTGGGAGGACAGCCAGAGACAATGCCAGGAGCCAAGACATGGAGGGTCTTGTTCTTGGAACAGCCAAGTGTTACTGGACCAAAGAGTACGTGTTGGGGACTAAGGTGTAAGATTGGAAAGGTCAACCTTTGGCTCCCAGAATCCAGTTCTTCAAAATTTAGCTCCAGGTTTAGCTTCTGCAGGAAGCATCTTCTGATGATGTGCTTGCCCTCCTCCCCTCCTGCCAGGCTCCTCAGTTTCCTATGCCTCCTTTTTCCAGTCCTCCCAGGAAATTCCATGTTTGTACTCTGTGTGTACCCTGTATTTATGCATTTGTGTCAACGTGGACCTCCAGATACAATGAATGGAAGCCCCTAGAGGGCAAGGACTTTCTGGTCCCAACCCCTAGCACTGCCTAGAATTGAAATTACCTGCTTGAATTGTGTTCAAGGTAATTTAATTCCTTCCACCCCATACTTCTTGCCTTATTTTAAAGTGGAGGAAACTCAACTCGTGTTCCGTCATGACTGACTCTTCCTGACTCCATTTGGGGTTTTCTTGGCAGGGAGACTGGAGTGGTTTGTCATTTCCTTTTCCTGCTCATTTTATAAGATGAGGAAATTGAAGCAAGCAGGTTAAGTGACTTGCCCAGATCACACTGCTTGTATCTGAGGTCGGATTTGAACCCCACTCTTCCAGAATAAAGGCATCAAGTCACACCTTACCCACCCAACTAACTTCGAATTCACAATTTCTAAGAAATCTTTTGTCCCGAATTTCTATGCCTCCAGGGTAGGTGTGGAGGTAGTTAAAGGGAGTGTGTGATTAAATCTGGTATTTTGGCTTCAAGATTTGGTGCTTTGAGATCTACTCTTAGTGTTTTGAAGTTGTTCAAAGCCTTCTAGGTGGAAAGCTTGATACATAGTCCTTTGTACCTGGCTTCCCTCCCAGCTCTGAAAGGGCAACCTGGGGCAAGATAGAAGGAGAAGGGGGGGGCGGTTATATTATATATGTGAGAGCTGAAAAGGAACCTTGGAGATCACCATGAAGTGCAATCTGCTCATTGTACAAAGAGGGAAACTGAGGTCCAGAGAGGAGGTTGGAACCTAGGTTGGAGAGAGTTGAGGAGTAACTGAAAAGAGAAGTGGAAATGGCAGGAATAGACATTTTTTCTTGGAGTTTGGCTAAGGAAAGAAGGACCATAGAATGCTAACTTGAGAGGATGGTAGGGTCTAGAGAAAGTTTTTAAAGATAGGATTTGAAGCCAGTAAGGATGGAGCCAGTAGATGGGCAGAGGTTGAAGATGGGGGTGGGAGAGCTGGAAGAAATGGAAACTGTAAACTGCTGAAGAAGACAGGAGAGAACAGGATGAGGGGGACACATAGGGGTTGGCCCCAGCAAGGAGAAGGGTCACCAAATTGTTAAAGATTAGGGAAGAGGAGGCGGTGGGGAATGAAGCCACAGTGGTTTGAAGAAGATAGATAAAATGACCTCAGTCTTCTCACTCAAGATCCTAGGTGCTAAGCTGAGAAAGTGGGGGGGGGGAGCACATGTGGGAGGCTTGAGATGAGAAGGAAAGGTTTGGAATGGTTTCTGGAGGGAAGAAATTTGGAATGAATAAAAGCCTTGCCTGGTCATGAAGGCCCAACTTCAGTTGTGGCACTGTCCAGTCAAAATTAAGACCAGGAGCTCAGAAGGTCAGAATGAGGTTGTTCAGAAAAGTTAGGCACAATAAAAGGGTGGGGGGAGGGTATTGGGAGGAAAATGAGGATCCGAGAAGGGACAGGGTTATGTTTTTATTTTGCTTTTGGTTTCTCTGTAAGGGAGAATGACCTTTGCATTGTAAAGGATGGAAGTTGATAGCCCAGATAAATAAGGTGATAGCTGTCCTTAATGAAATGAAGTCACCTGGGCCAGATAACTATATCATACCTTGCTGCGGAAAACAAACAACAGGCAGCTGGGATTGATTGCTGGGCCACTTTCAGGGATAACTTAAAAATCCTGGAAAATGGGACAGGTCCTACAAGATTGGAGAAGGGCAAACTTTGCCCTCATTTCCCAGAAAGGGAAGAAAACAGTCTTCAAAAGGCCAAGGAGCTTGACTGATTCCTGAAAAAATCCAGACTACATTCTTAAAGGTTTGGTTAACAAACAGCTAACCGCGTCACGGAGGTCATGATTACAACAGTCAGCACAGCTTCCTGAATAACAGGTCAACCTTGGTTCCTTTTTTGACAGGATTACTGAACTGGATGAGAGGGAATGCTATCCTAGAGTTTAAAGCTTCACAGAAGCTTTTATCAAAGCTTTTGACAATGTATTTCATGACTGGAGAAAGGATGGGAAGGTGTTAATTAGACACCTACAACTCAGATGGAGAGCTGATTGGATGAATGGACTTCAAGAGTAGTCCTTAATAGTTCAATTTCAACACGACAGGTGAGTCTGCATTTTCTCCATCACTTTCTTAGTCTATACTGTCAGCAAAATAAAAAAAAAATCAAGACCTAATTTGTGGCATATGGCAGTTTCTGAGGTATAAATGCTCACCCTGAAAATTTAACCATCAGCTCGCGTGAGCCAATTTGAGTTAAATTTGTGCCTCCCCACACACACAGCCCCTCTAGCATTTGTCATTTTCCTTTTTTTTTTTAAACTTTGCCAATCTAGGATGTTAATAAATATTTGCTGATTTGACTTGTCTTGCCTCACCTCTGTGGGTCACAGTTTCCTCACTTGTAAAATAAAGGTCTTGAACTAGATTCCCTCTCGGGTCTTTTCCAGCTCTAAATCTGAGTTAGAACCTTCCAGAATTTTGGGATTCACATATGATTGAGTCATTGAAGAAGGGGAAACACATAGTTCCATTTCCCTTCTTACCTGTCCCAGCCCTTTTCACCTCTTCTAGTCCTTACCATCCAAGAGGAGAAGTAGGCAGCCCATTCCCCAGATCCCTCAGGGACTTGTTTCTAAAGTGCTTAGAGATCCCCTTTCACTCCTTTCAGAGTCTCTAGCTTTCTTGAAGATCCAGCTTCAGGTGCACCACCTTCTTTCCACATGAAGCTTTTCTTGATTCCCTGGCTGCTAGTATTACCCTCCTATAAATTAATTGGTGTTTATCTGTGCACAGTCATATTTATATATGTATATGCCATGCAACCTTAGATATATATTCACACGCACATATACATATACTTCATACATATATACACAAAACATTCACAATAAATACAAGGCAATTATATTTCTAACATAAATCCATAAGTATTATATCTATAAAGTCGCATATGTACAATATATTGTGCAGATATAGGAACACATATGCTTACATGTGTACATGCACACACAAATGTATATATCTATATATGTATGTGTGTGTATGTATACATGCACAAACAAATGTGTTGTTCAGTTGTGTCTGCCTTTTAGACCCCGTGGACCATAGCACACAAGACCCTTCTATCCTCCACTGTCTCTCAAAGTGTGTCCAAGTTGCTTTTTCCACGACACTGTCCATCCATCTCATCCTCTGCCATTCCCTTTCCCTTTTCCTTCAATCTTCCCCAGTATCAGGGTCTTTTCCAATGAGTCCCATCTTCTCATTATGTGGTTAAAGTATTTCAGCTTCAGTATTTCGCCTTCCAATGAATAGTCTGAATGAATTTCTTTAAGTGTTGACAGATTTTATCTCCTTGCTGTCCAAGGGACTCTCAAAAGTCTTCTCCAGATTTGTTTTGCATGTCTGCACATGTATAACCTATATCAAATTGCTTGCCTCCTCAGTGAGAAGAGATGGAAAGGAGGAAGAGAATTTGGAAATTAATTTTTTTAAGTGTTAAAATTGTTTTTACATGTAATTGGGGAAAAATTTAATACTAAATAAATAATTTAAATTAAAAAGAAATCAAAGTCTTCTCTAGCACCGCAATTTGAAAGCATCAATTCTATGGCACTCAGCTTTTCTTATAGCCCAAACCTCATAGCCATACATTACTATGAGGAAAAACCACAGCTTTGACTCTATGGATCTTTGTCAGCAAGGTGATAGCTCTGCTTTTTAGTGTGCTCTCCAGATTTGCCATAGCTTTTTCTTCCATGGAGTAAGCATCAATCTTTTAATTTCATGGCTATAGTCACCATCTTTATTGATCTTTGAGCCCAAGAATATCAAATCTGACACTGTTTACATTTCTTCCCTCTCTCTATTTGCCAGGAAGTGATGGGACCAGTTGCCGAGATCTTAGTTTTAGGTTTGTTTGTTTTTTGTTTTTTATGTTAAACTTCAAGCTAGCTATTGCACTCTCCTCTTTCACCTTTATCCAGAGGCTTCTTAATCCTTCACTTTTTGCCATCAGATTGGTATCATCTGCATATGAGATTAAATCTAACACCCTTAATTCCGATTTTAGATTTGTCCAGTCTGACATTTCACATGATGTACTCTGCCTATAAGTTAAATAAATAAGGTAACAATATACAACCTTGTTGTACTTCTTTCCCAGTCTTAAACCAATAAATTGTTCCATGTTTGGTTTTAACTGTTCCTTCTCAATCTGCATACAGGTAATCCTCAGGAGACATGTAAGATGACCTGGCACTCCCATCCCTTTGAGGACTTGCCACATTTTGCTGTGATCCACACAGTCAAAGGCTTTAGTGTGGTCAATGAAGCAGAAGTAGATGTTTTTTCTGGAACTCCTTTGCTTTTTCCAAATCCAGTGAATGTTGGCAATTTGGTCTCTAGTTCCTCTGCCTCTTTGAAAACCAGCCTGCTCTTCTGGTAATTGTTGGTTTACATATTGCTGAAGCCTAGCTTGCAGAATCTTGAGCAAGAACTTGCTGGTGTGTGAAATGAGTGAAGTTGTTCAGTCATACATACACACATTTATGTATACATGGATAGATAGATGTGATAGATAACATAGACTCATATAAGGGCATATTATCTCCCCAAGAGAGGAAGCTCCTTCAGAGCCTAAAGGGATGGTCTCAAGCACCTTATAAGGATTTCCAACTACTAGGAGCTGCTGAGTCATTCTTTTTGCAGCCCTCATTCTCTAATCTTAAATCCAATTTCCCTTAGTCTACCGGTGGGAGAAAGTAGCACAAATTTTGTGTGGGGGATGTTTTTTCTTACTCTACAGTACCAACTTGGTAAATACAAATCTAAAAAGAAAATGAGGGAAAGGAAATAAATAAACTACGTGCCAAGCACTTAAAAAAAAAAAACAAATATCTCATTTGATCCTTACAACCCTAGAGGTAGATACTATTATCCTTATTTTAGTTGAGGAAACTGAGGCAAACAGAGGTCAAGTGACTTACTCAAGGAAGTTAGGAAGCTAGGAAGGCTGGATTTGAACTCAACTCTTCCTGACTTCAGCCCCAGCAATCTAGTGGACCAAGCACCATGGATAGTGCCTTTAGAGGCAGGTAAAACTTTAAGTCAAGGACTGATTCTGTTTTTCTTTTTTCTTTTTCATCTTTGTATGCTTGATATATACAGTTATCCCTTCCACGTCTCAACTTTCCCCATCATGGTATCAGTATATCATGGATTGGCATAAGACGTTAAAAGGGAATTTTGAGGAAGTTTTGCAGAAGTGGCAGACAAACACAGAAAAAGTTTAGAAACTCAGAAATGCATAAAATATATGTATAGTATTATATAGCATCAACATATTTTATCTTTTAATGCCATAATAATTCAGACTTCTCTGATACAAAGGGAAGACCAAAAAATTTTTCTCAAATTTTCCAAACCCTTGAGACATCGGGCCCCTAACTCCTACAATGTGGAAGGGATAATTGTACTTGGAACTTAATAAAGATTTCTGTTGGTCAACACCATTTATTAAGGGTCTAGAGGCTACCAGGGCCAGACACTGAGTATATAAAGGGCTGGAAATATAAAGAAAGACAGGAAAAAAATACTTATTTGATTAACTGATCTGGAGTTAGACTAGTGATAATTTCCTGATTTTAGAGACTTTTGTGGCATAAAGGATCTGGTACAAAGGAATGGGAGTTAATTAATTAGCATTCTGCTCCCTCCCCCAACCCAGAAGGGATTAAATCATACTGAAGTAGATAAGGACTGAGACTGGCACAGCCTGGGGTTGGGAGAAAGGGAAGCTGAGGCCTTGAAACCATGGGACTGAAGTACCCAGGGGGCTGGAGACCTAAAATGGGTTTGGAAGGGGAATAAGCTGGGGGGGGGGGGGTTAGGGATGAAACACCAAAGACAGAGCAAAGAGGAAGCACAAGTAACATACTGAGTACAAAATCAAAGAAGATAGTCAAGTCATCGAGCATTTATTAAGCACCTACTATGTGCCAATGGAGGTATTGTTGTTGGTCCTTTGTTTTCAAAAACACGCAATAACATCATAAGCTGCTGTTTTGACCTTCATGAATTGGGTTTTTTGAAGCAGAGCTGCACAAAGTTGTCAGCCTCACTCTCTCCTCCAGAGTCATCAAATTCCAGTGGCAGGACAAAAGTCAAGATGACTGGCATGGTCCTAGATGCAGTGGATGGCCTTGGCATCTTCGGTGTCTGACCAAGCTCTAAGCATTCCACAGCACCCGCTTCATGGTCATAGGAACAAATTGTTCTTATCTGCCCATTCTGTCTGGGGAAGTCTTCACGTGCTTGGGGTAGACGTAGCCTTAACTCACCAATGACAACAACAGTGGAAATATTAAAAAAAAAGAAAGAAAAGGAAAAAAAGGGCAAAACTACAATTCTTCCCTTTAAGGAATTCACAGTTTACTGAAAGCAACAACAAGCATATGTATGTTAATGACAAGATAATGTCTAGAAAGTGCTTACCTATTATTTTTCTTATGAACTTGGTTGGTTCGTTGCTTGTTGACCTTTTTCAATGAGGACCCAAATGACATCTCTGTGCTAGAGTCAAGCTATAGTGTGTCCATGTGGCTGATCAGACCGCTATGAGCTCAGAAGGCTCTAGCACAGGTCAGGCACAAATAGTCCATGAGAATATTTGGAGTGGATTCTCTAAACTGGTACATCCTACATTTCCTTTGAGCTGTTTCAATTCTGCTTTGCTCACAGAGCACAGCACCTTCTCTGATGAGGGCACACCATTCTGAACAGTCCTATGCCAGTGTCTCCCATGTCACACAATCAATTTCAAAGTTCTTAAGAGAGACCTTGAGAGTGTCCTTGTATCACTTTTTCTGACCACCATGTGAACACTTGCTCTGTGTGAGTTCTTCATAAAATACCCGTTTTGGCAAGCAAATGTTTTGCATTTGAATAACATGACCAGCCCATTGGAGTTGCACTCTCTCCAGTAGAGTTTGAATGCTTGGCAGTTTAGTTGAGAAATGACCTCAGTGTCTGGTATCTTATCCTGCCAGGTGATCTTCAGAATCTTCCTAAGATGATTCAAATAGAAGTAATTCCATTTCCTAGCATGGCACTGGTATACTGTCCAGGTTTCACAGGCATACAACAATGAGGTCAGCACAATGGCTCTGTAGACCTTCAGTTTGGTAGTCAGTCTAATACCTCTTCTCTTCCATACTTTTCTTTGGAGCTTCCCAAACACTGAACTAGCTCTGGCAATTCATGCATCAACCTCATTATCAATGTACATCACCCATACCATTTTCTACTCACCATCAGCACACAGAATGTGTAGTGAACACCTGGAGACCCTTATCAATATGCCAAAAGAGGACAGACTTCTAATTCTGGGTGACTTTAATGCTAGAGTAGGCTCAGACTATCAAATTTGGCAGACAGTCCTAGGGAGGAATGGAGTTGGAAACAGCAACTTATGAATTTAAATCTGAATCAGATGGAGTCATGATGGAGATTATAACCTGGGCTCACCCACCAAGGGCTCCATTCTATTCTGCTTTCTAAGAACCAGTTTATACAGATACTGAAAACCTTAACACAGCTGGGCTGAATATCCTGAGCTGTCAATCAAATAATCTATAGGCACTGATTAAGTGCCTACTTTTTGCAAGGTACAGTGTGTCGACCTGAAAGCTGGTTAAAAAGACAGCAAGCTAGGTGATAAGTAAATCCATATTGTTTATTCCCTTAAGTTAGCGACATGTACATAGAGCCAAAGCTTTAACTCTGACTGAATCAAGCAATTTTAGGAGGACATTTAAACCCTAACTCAGGATGTCTGTGTTACTCAGATTTATGGTCTCCATATATGTTTAACCATAGCATGAGAAAGGAATTTTCTTAATTGAATAGGTTGTAAATACAATAAGATAGGAGAATGTCAAAGTGTAAATTATAGATCCTGTTTCCTTTACCATTAACGTGACATAACATAGCATGTCCGTAAAATGCCAAGATAAGAGAAGTCCCATTATTCAAGTTAGTGTCTGGGTTGAAGACACCTTAGTGGTCATAAACAGAAGAATGCTCTTGGTCAGCTTCAGCTGTTGACATAGGAAGGGGAATTCTTAGTTCACTCAGAGAAAAGATTAATTCAAGTTTTTGGCCCTTATTGGGACTCAATTGATCTTAAATGATTATCAAGTGCTAGGAGGAGGAAATATAAGGACAAAAAAGAAAAAGAGGAAATAGTTCTATATAGAAAATAAACACAAGGCTATTTGTGGGAGATGCACCCATAGCTTAGAAGGGGAAAGGGGGGGGGGTCAAGAAAGCTTCATGTAGGTCTTCCTTGAGCTGAGTTTGAATTTTAAGAGCCTGAGGTGTGAATGTAGTACAGTACAGGAATGGGGGACAGTCAGTACAAAGGCAGAAAAATGGGAGACAGAAGACCAGTTTGTCAGTATCCACCACCATGAAAATGGAAGATGAAGTCAAGAAGAGTAAGGACTCCATTAAATTTGTGAAAGATAGAGACTAGATCAGTGATTTAATGAGATGGGGAATCCTGGGTGAAGAAACTTCATCAAACTTTTCAAGTCTTAAAAAGCAGCCTTGAGCTAGTCAAGTCTAATCGACAGATTTTTATTAAGCACCTATTCAGTGTCTGGTGAAGAGCTAAAGGGTTAGAAAGAAATGCAAAACAACCCAGTTACCTGCCCTCAAGGAGCTCACAGTTTAGAGAGGGAGATAACCTGAACAACTGTATAAACAAGATGTAAATGGCAGGTAATCAACAGAAGAAAGGCACTGAGATGGAGAAGTACAAGGAAATGACTCTGGCAGAAGATGGGACTTTAGCTGAGAGATTAAAAGGACTCTAGGAAAGCCAGGAAGTGGAAATGAGGAGGGAGAGAATTTCCGGCAGGGAGCTTGACCTGGTGTGGAGATGGGATGTTTTGTCTGAGGAACTTCTAGGAGGCTAGTGCCATTGTGTTGCAAAGTAAGCGGGGGAAGGGTGATGTAAGGTAGAGGATGGACTGGGTGAAAGGTGAGAGAGCAGAATAAACTGGAGTGAGGGTAGGATGGAGGGAAATACACAGTATTCATAACTAAAAAAAAATTAATAGCAAGGTTCTCTGATAAAGGCTTCATTTCTCAAGTATACAGAGAATTGAGTCAAATTTATAAAGATAAGAGCCATTCCCCAATTGATAAATGACCAAAGGATACGAACAAGCAATTTTCAGACAAAGTAATCAAAGCTATGAAAAAATGCTCTCACTTTT